TAGTAACAGCAGGTGTCGTGAGCTGAAGTATATCCAAAAATCTTTTGTTGTGTATCATGAACACTTATATGCCCAGCCTCACCCACAGAGCCCCCAAGCTATAAACTATTTTTTATCTAAACTTGACTTACCATCAATAGGAACTGAACAAAACGACAGGCTTAACAGAGAAATAACAGAGGAAGAAATGAATAAAGCATCTCTAAGATGAAAGGAAATAAAATGGCTGGGGAAGATGTTCCCCAGCAGAATGGTACAAACATTTTAGATATCAAATAACTCCCTTACTAAAAAATAGTTTTAACTATATTTTAAAGGGTGGGAATATACCACCATCTTGGAAAAGAGCAGTGATCTCTGTAATTCATAAACCTGGTAAAGATAAAACACAGTGTGGCTCGTATCGTCCAATATCTGTTTTAAATATTGATTATCGCATATTTGCCACAATATTAGCAAAGAGGCTGGAGGTATTGGTTCCAGAACTGACAGACACTGACCAGTCTGGTTTTGTACGTAATAGACAGGCCCATGACAATATTAGACGTGCTCTTCACCTTATTCATAAAATGAAAAACATAGAATCTATAGCAGTTAGTCTTGATGCTGAAAAAGCCTTTGATTCTGTTAGTTGGCAATATCTTTATTTAACCTGAAACAAATTTGGATTTAACAGTAATATAATCAGATGTATAAGATCACTATATGAATCACCGTCTGCCAGAATCAAAATTAACGGGGACCTTTCAGAAACTGTAAATCTTGAGAGAGGTTGTCGCCAGGGCTGTCCTCTAAGCCCAACCCTGTTTGCTCTTTTTATTGAGCCACTGGTGCAAGCTATAAGAGAACATAAAGATATTTCAGGCATTGCAATAAGAGAAACCACACACAAAATCTGTTTATATGCAGATGACGTCCTCTTGACATTATCCAACCCAACAGTCAGTTTACCCAACCTTCTGATATTACTCCGTGAATTCTTCACATATTCTGGATATAAACTAAATTTACAAAAGACTCAGATTATCCCTTTTAACTATCACCCACCTGCCGAGATATGTAAAATGACAAATTTTAATTGGCAAAGCAATTGCATCAAATATTTAGGAATACTAATACCAAAGGATTTATCTTTAATATATGAGGAAAATTATGGAATACTCACTACAAATATTAAGGCTGACCTGCAGCGATGGGGGAAACTATCAATGAATATGGATAATAGGATTGAAATAGTTAAAATGAATTTATTACCAAGGTTCCTTTACCTATTTCAGGCGCTGTCAGTTGAAATACCCACCAAACAATTCAACGAATGGAATAGAATGATTTCAAATTTTATTTGGGGAAATACAAAACCAAGAATACGATTTCAAACTCTACAATTACGGAAGGAGGAAGGTGGATTAGCTATACCTTGTCTAGAGAGTTACTATAAAGCAGCCCAGTTATAGTCAATATTGATAAATTGGTGTGACCCAAGTTGTGATGTTAAATGGAAAGAGATTGACCAGTCATACTTTGATGTCCCAATACAATCTATACTTGGTGACCAACCTTTAATAAAAATACATTTGAATTCACAACTATTGCCACCATGGATAAACACACCAATTAATATCTGGAGTAAAATACTTAAAAACAAGAATACTGAACAAAGGGCCAAAATAATGCGTTGGCCAGCATTTGACTCAGAATTTCTACCAGCAAAAACAGATAACAGATTTCAACAATGGTCTCAAAATGGTATTACTGGTTATTGGTCTATGTCACTGAAAGGCAGGTGCTGGAAAGCTTTTTGGAACTATCAGACAAGTACAATTTGGAAAAACATGATCTTTTCAGATACTTTCAGCTGAGACACTATTTCAATAGAAAAATTAAATTTCCTGCAGAAGAGGGGATCTGGTAAATTATTTTCTAGAAGCATGCAAAGGTAACGCTCCTAAGAAACACAAACCATTGCTTACAAATGTCTACAAGCATCAAAGAACATTTCTAGTATATATATTAAAGAAGCAAGGGAAGAAGACTCTAATATTACAATATCTGAGGATGACTGGTACAATATCTGCAGAACTGCAATGACCACCTCCAGCTCGGGTCTTTGGAGGGAATTTACATGGAAAACTACTGTACGTTTTTTTTCTTACACCTTTTATTAAGAGTAAGCGGAGTAATGACCCAGAGGCTCGGTGTTGGAGAGACTGTGGTGATGTCAGATCAGGGAATTTCACATATTTTGGGACTGTGTTAAGATCACATCCTACTGGACAATGGTGATAAAATCTATTCAAAGTATATTCAGATTAGACCTGCCAACATTATTGGGATTTACTGAAGTCTTTTTTTGTAATATTATATGTGGATTACAGAAATCAGACAAATATCTTTTGTCAATACTGTTGGCTGAAGCAAACAAAGCCGTTACCAGGAAATGGTTGTGTAAAGATGCACCTGGACTCACTGACTGGATCAAAGTAGTCAACGAGATTTATGACATGGAAAGATTGACATTTTCATTGAGACTTTCTACTGCTAAATGTAACAGGTATTGGAGGAAATGGAACGATTGTTTGAATTCGATATGTTAATACTGTCAGGACAGATAACTATTGGTTACTCTAGATGCTCTGAATTTTAATTTTAATTTAAATTTTATTTTTATTTTACTCTGTTTTGTTGTGGTCTGCACTTCCGTTTTGTTTTGTTTTGTAAACGTATAAAATTTTCAAACACACACAAAAATAAAGTTTAAAAAAAACCAAAAACTATAATGTGCAGTAAAAAAAAAAAAAACTAAACTAAACTATAATGTGCATATTAAAAAATATAATGTACAGTAAAAAAAAAAAAAAAAAAAAGCTATAATGTACAGTAGAAATAAATAGATAAAAATAAGTTTGTGTCTCTTAGCAGCCACATTTAAACCCAAACTGAGACATCGGACACTTTGGCTCGTTAGTTAGCGTTAGCGTTAGCATTAGCTGGGTCCATGAGAAGGTCCATGATGAGCTCTGAGACGCTGCAGCAGATCCGGGAGCTGGAGGAGAAGATGATCAGATGATCATCTTCTCCTCTTCATCACGTTACAAACAGATCGTTAAATAAAATAAAATCCGTGAAAATGTCACAGATCCGTGTTAAACAGTTTCAAGATGGCCGCCGTTCTTTATTTGGTCGCTTTAAAATAAACGTTTATATTCATCCTAAATATATTTAAAGTAACAAAACTAAGCATAAGTAACAAAAAAAATACAGTTACGGTTGATTTCAGTCCTTGTTATTTATAAATTATTTGATTTAATCCGTTTTGAATTGACTGTTAGCTAGTGTAAGCGACATTTCTATTTCCTGTCTCACGGGCCATGTCACCGCGTCCTGCAATCACCAGAGCCTCCAGATCGGTGGCTCCCTGTTCTTGACATTTTGCTCGGAGACAGGGGTCAAGTCCAGCTAAGAAACATCTCTTCTCTTTGAGCTGCTGCACCATAGTTAGGAAATGCCTCTTTCACTAACTTCCCTGGATCAGCGGCATAAACATCCAGGCTTTCACCCTGGGCTCGACGGCCGCCAGGTTTGCTCTGAAACAGTCCAGGAAATGTGTTTGTCTCCTGTAGTCGCTCTTTCACAGCAGCGTAATCTGCCTGTACAGCAGCTGGCAGGTGTCCCACAACACAAAAGCGGCTTTGGTGAGTCGTGTTGGGAGAATTCTGGCCAGTTCATAATCATAGTCCCGCCAGCGCCGCCGCCAGCGCCTCACGGCCACTTCATACTGGCGCCACCAACAGGAGAAGCTCTCACTGTCAGGAGAAGCTCTCACTGTCCGCTCCGGAGAAAAGTGGCGGGAGTTCCATTTTTACATGACTGCTACAGAATCTCTGAGCTTTGGAGTCCAAGGGGTCTTCGTCAAATTTCCACATCGTGGCTGCTTACGAACACGAAGGAGCTGGGAGTTCCTCTCGCTCTACAACGTACTGAACAGCTAAGCTAAGCGCCAGTTAGCAGTGTGGCTAACAGAAGCTCGCTGCGCCTGTAGCGGTCGGCCTCTCGTAGTCTGAATAAACCGATGGGCTTGTGCACTGGAGAAATCCCACCGCTGCCACCAAGTGTAACCGAGGGTCTTGAGTGCATAGAAGATGGACGCCAATATGAAGAAGATGACTTTATTTTTCTCTGCAGCTCCGTCTCATCCACACACGGTACAGTACAACTGTTTAGAACCGCCTGAGCTCACTTCCGTTTTCACACTAAAAGTCAGGAGTGAGACAGGAAATAGAAATGTCGCTTACACTAGTTAACTGTTAAGTGTAGTGTGCGTTAGCGGCCACTTGAGGGCGCACTACAACAGCTCTGTGTGTTTAATGTGGCTATAAATGTTTTATTTTTTAACTTTAAAATCCAAACTAACCCTGTTGTATAAAAGATATAAGTTACACAGAGGCTGTTGGTTT